TGGTACCTGAAGGTCACGTGCCACCGCTGCAGCCCAAGGAAGGATTCCGCTGTAAACTAAAAGGGTGACTGGTTCCCCATCGGCTATAAACTTTTTCAGAAGATTGCTGAGATTTTGGGGGCCTATGCGCCTCAAGTCGGCCACGGAGCTTAAAAAATCTTTGTGGGTTTGGGATTCGTCATTGTCCTGATCACCCAAAATGGAAGCATACGACAACCCCTTTAAAGTTGGAAGAGATTTTATTTGTTTGAGGCCGCGGTTAGTCGTGCCTAAGGTGACTTTGGCACCATTACGTACCAGGTTTTTGGCTAGTTGGAGGGACGGATTGATATGGCCTTGGATAGGGAAAAACAGGATGAAGAAGTGATGGTTGTTCATTAATATGGCTTGTTGCTCTTGATCCATTTCTTCTTTGGTAATGGAATGGGAATATTGTCATTTATTTATAGCTATTATTTTCTGATGGATAATTCTAATGGGTGTGAGTGTTATGTATCCCTTTATATACAAAAATTATGTATCCCTTTATGTGAGTGGGGCCACCCTATGTGAGTGTTATGAATACCTTTATCTACAAAAATTATGTACTCTTAGCAAAATCTTTTTCTGATATATTGCCATATACTTTTTGAATTGAATAATGTTGTCAGCGCGTACGGGTGTATAATAACAATCTAAGAGACTACTGTACATGATAAATTATATTATGCCTCCGTTTGGTTTCAATTTTTTCTCAAACTCATTTTCTATCATATATTACAACTTTTATCAATTTTTCATCTCTCAAGTCTCTTCAACTTTTATCAAATCTACTAAATGTTAACCAAACCAAACAGGAGTTATGATAGCCACAAATCCTCAATCTAGACTAAACATCGTATTGTTAAATAGCAATAGTCGGACAGAATTTATGAAGTTCAATGATAGTGGGACCCTCATTGGAGAAATTAAACAATTGATGTGAATTGTTCAACAACCAATTTTAGTTTGACTAATCAAAGCATTAATGAAACAAGAATTTGGCGTGGAAAAGAGGGTATTTCTTTGTCCCTACACCAAGAAACGACCATAAGTTTTGACTGATAAAACAAGAAACTTGAAGGACAAACTTAAGTTGGCCGTCAATTGACAAATGAAACAAAATAAGAAGAGATATTTTGCCAGCTTTTGACTATAAAAATGAAGCAAGTTATGGGCAAATTTTGCAAGAGAAGGGGGCAATTATGCTAGAATATTTATGCTTGACAAAGCGTAAATATACTTGAAACAAAATAAGAAAGCAGCAATGAAAACGGCAGTGAGAAAAGCTTTGGTTTTCCACATTTTTCAAGCCAAGACACAACACACCCACATGGCTCCACCAAGAAAGGGACTGATATGTAGATAATATTAGGGGTTGGGATGGGCTAAACAACACACTACATATTGGACTGCATCTTGTTGGATGGATCGTGAGTGTTGGGATCTTCGAACCCACGTGTTGTGAAAAATCGAAAGAGATTAATGGAGTAATATGAAGTATTGATTGCTTACCAAACAAGAACAAGATTTAAAGTAAAGAAAAGAAAAAATTGGCAGAGAAACCGATATTTTATTAAACAACCAATGGAGAGAAAATACAATTTCAGCAATTTCTGCTTTCAAAAATTGAATGAAGAGTCTACTATTTATAGGGAAGATGTCCAAACCCAAGATAAAAATAAGATAAAAACAAATCACGTGAAATAAATGAAACAATATTTTCTCAATATTTTTCCAATAAAATATGTGAAATAAAAGGAAATAATATCTTTCCAAATACGTGTAAAGAAGGAAAAATATATTCTCAAAAATTTCAACCTAATTTGGGTCACAAAATCCAATAATTTCCAATTTGACACAAATTCCGGTGCAACGAACGAAACTCTAAAATTTCGTCACCTGGAAAAATAAGTCTGACTGCATCAGAATAAACCAATCTCTTCATTCAGTACCAAAACTCTCCACTTCACGAAAAGCGTCACATTTGCCCAGTGTCCACAAAGCACACCCGAACCCAACCCAACCCCGAGTTCCCAAAATTCCAACAAAGAATTCAACAAATACCAAACATGGTCGAAGCATACCCTGTAGTAGAATCCATACCAAATGCTTGAACTGAAGGCCACTTGTTAGAATTATCACCTTCAAACACCCCAAAAGCATGATCACACACATCTGAAACCCGGTACCTATGCTCCATGAGTCATCCCCTAGCAAATGACTCAGAGCCCNCCGGTACCTATGCTCCATGAGTCATCCCCTAGCAAATGACTCAGAGCCCAACACGAAAGGTATTGTACCGAATTGGATCTCTTCCATTGTACTAAACCTGTCCAAATGTCTCTTCACTGTTTCTGCGCGCCTCTGCAGGATATACAGTTGATAATTCTTTTGTCCTTCAAGCACAACACGATGACCCCTTTGGACCTTCAAGACTCTACCTCCATCGGAGAATGTGTACCCACTAGAATTCAGGGTACTCAGAGAGATAAGATTCTTCCTTAAGTCTGGAACATGCCGAACCTGGCCAGAACTTGAATTGTCCCATCCAATAACCTCAATCTGACCCGACCAATTCTAGCAACCCTACAAGATTTGTTGTTTCCCATGACAACTTCACTTTGCTCCACCATTTCATATGTTTCAAACAGGTCCTATTGGGACACATATGGAACGAGGACGCTGAATCCAAAATCCACTCTTATCCGGCTTAGATTCCAAGTCAGATACCGTCAGCACCACATTTTCGCCATCCGAAAATCTCTCAGCAATATTAGTCTCCTCCGAATCATCAAATTACCTCCCATGATTTGCAGATGAACTACCTTTACCATGCAACTTGTAGGTAGAACCCTCTTCTTTAACAGCTTCTGTAGTCAAACCTCTCCATTTACTAGCATTTCCTCTCATTTCTTTACCTCTATCTCCATCCACCATGACAATGTCCAAGCATTTCTTGATTTCGCCTCTTTCAATAATACTTTCCCCATTTGCTTTTGCTCTCACACATGTGTCCCAAACCTCATCCACCATCTTCACATTTGTTGTTTGATCTGAGAATTGTGGATAACATATGATTGGTACTCCAGAAACAATAATTTCCAGTGTTAAATTCCATCTCCAATGTGTCACAAAACACCCGATATAGGGGTGGCTTAGCACGTATAGTTGAGAACACTAGGGCACTATTATCCTATCACCATTCAACCTATTTTTCATCATTTTATGTATTTCCTCTTCTTCACTGTTTGATGATCTAAGGACCCAAAGAAACGGTCTCCCACTCTCCATTAATGCATGAAATATCTCTGCTTTTTGCTTTTTCTTTACCACCGCCAAGTTGCCAAATGACACATAGATCACTGAATGCTCAGGCTTCGAGTCTAACCACTGAAAATAATCATCAGATACACTGAATAAATCGACTCCAAATGATTTGTCTGTTAGATCACTTCCATCACAGAAAGCTGATGGCATTAAGGGTCCAATTGCAATAACATTCATATTGGCTATAACTTTGATTGATTCTTGTTCTAATTCTTCAAAGGTATTAACAAGAATAAAGGATCGGGGATCTTGTTCCAAGACATGTATATGTTCTTGCATCACATGGATCAACAAACCACTCGAGTGACTATCAGGAAGGAGAAAGGTGGGTAAGTCACTGGAGGAAAGCAATGGCAACGTTGGTACTTTTATTGAAATCGAGGGATCTATTCGGCCATGTATACCTTCTTAATAATGCTACCTAGCACCATTGGTGCTTAGATGTGGTCAAACTTGATTTGTTTAATTCAATGAATTATATGACATTGCATTTAAATGAATATATCATTTAATGTCATCTAGTTGCCACCTAAACTAATATTGAACAACATTACTTTTCTTGAATAGTGTTATTTAGCACCACTGGTATTACATCACCAGTCTAGGTGGTCAGACTTGATAGATTTAATTGAATGAATTATGTGACATTGCATTTACGTGAATATATCATTTAATGTTATGTAGTTGGCGTTTAAACTAGTGCTTTATACCAATAATGTTGAATATCATTACTCTTCTTAAATAATGCTATTTAACACCATTGTACTAGAACACTAATTTAGGTGGTCAAATTTGATGTGTCCAATTAAATGAATTATATGACATTACATTTAAGTGAATATATCATTTAATGTCATATAGTGTCACTTAGACGAGTGCTTGAAGCCGTGGTGCTGAATAACATTATTCTTCTTGAATTATTATATCTAGCACTATTGATTTTAAAACACTAGTTTAGGTGGTTAGACTTGATAGATTCAATTAAATAAGTTATGTGACATTGCATTTAAGTGAATCTACGATTTAATGTTATGCATTTGGCACCTAGATTGATGCTTAAAATCATTAGTGATGAATAACATTACTCTTCTTGAATAATGCTATCTAACACCACTAGTACTAGAGCATCAGTTTTGGTAGTCAAACTTAATATATTTAATTAAATGAATTATATGACATTACATTTAAGTAAATATATCATTTAATGCCATATAATTAACACCTAGATGAGTGGTTGACACCGCGGTGCTGAATATTATTACTCTTGTTGAATAATGTTATCTAAACACCATTGGTGCGAGAGCACCAGTCTAGATGGTCAAACTTGATAAGTTTCAATTAAATGAATGACGTGACATTGTATTTAAGTGAATCTATCAATTAATGTCATGAAATTGCCACCTAAATTGGTGATTAACACCCTTAGCACCGGATAACATTGCTTATTCTTCTTTGGTAATTGCAAGTTGTTGGTGTTAATTAACTCGATTGTCTGTCTTGCATTTGTTAATGGATCATAAATTTATTTTATAATATTTCCATATATCTAAAAATCAAGCAGAATCACAAGTATGCTTTTGGTATTTGGATATGGCTCAACTAGGGTCTTGCCTTGGGCCTCAGGTTCTAAGGGGCCTATAAAAAAAGCCCAAATCTTGTCCCAATCCAAAGCCCCTCAAATTCATTCTTGGCTTCTCCAACCATCTTCCTCTCCAAATTCCAATCATCTTCTAATATTCCCTCAAAAAATCTCCATATTCCCTACATCACGATTCATATTTTTTATTTTACCCTTGTTGAAAAATTCTCTCCCCTTTTTCATGGGATTCTTCATTTGGTGTTCGAATCACGAAGGTGAAATGAGTTATTCGATCTTTATTTTTAATGGTACATTTATGTTATTTTTTCTTGTTTACATGGCTTATCATTGTTCTTTTTTCAGAAAGATCAGCATGTCTGGTCTGCATCAGATACAAATACAAGTTTTGGATTTGAACGGCCAAGATTAGTTGCTAAGAAAATCTTGGGCAAGCCTCAAAGTGAAGGTGATGGTGTTGTTGTTAGAATAGTTAGTGACTTATTGCATTTTAATTATTTTGATTTCTGAATTTTCATGGGTTTGTTTTGGGAGGTACAGGATAATATTATGGTAAACTAAGGAATAGATGTTCTGATTGGAATGTATTTAGAGTGTTATGATTAATATAGTAATTCAAAATTTAACTGGTTTTTTCTATCCACTTTAGTTCTACTTATCTTGTAGAATAAATAAAATAGGTTTACTGGTTTAGGCAAAGTAGGGTTAGGATTTAAATTATACAAAACTAGTTGGGATAAGAACTACAAATAGGATTCCTTGCAGGAAACTTCAATATACACCAAGAGTTTACTTTAATATAGTTATTTCCTTTGAAGTCCCTACGATTTTCCTTTCCCCACTAAGTTATGGCATCAAGATTTCTCCCTGACCAAATCCACAGATTATTAAGGGTTAACTGATTGCCATAAATCCTTCATTAATTGCTAAGAATGTCACGATCAGAACCCATATAACTTGGCATCGAACAAATGGTACAATTCAATGGAATCTTTGTCCGTTTTATGCAAAAAGTTCAAATAGTTGGAGTAAACAAATGAAGGTCTAGTTCACATATCAAGAACTTCTAAAGTTGCAGAGTATGTTGATGATTATGGATAAAATAATTTGACATTGGTAGTTGGAGTAAACAAATGAAGGTCTTGTTCACATATCAAGAACTTCTAAAGTTGCAGAGTGTGTTGATGATTCTGGATAAAATAATTTGACATTGGAACAAAGACAACAACAAAAATAGGGCAAAAGTAATATTTATTTCTACTTTCTGTACACAGGGATTTTCGTTCTTCATTTGTCCTCCTATCCTTTATCAAACGCTGTTTGTATTGAAAAGTTTGCATACTATGCACATGACATATTGGTAATATGTTTGAGCAACATTTTGAGCAACATTCATCCACTTGAATAGAAGTAAAAAATGATTATGTTGAAGGACCTCATAATAATTAGTCGTCTAGGGCCCTAAATTCTCATGGCCGGCCTTGGGCTCAACACAACAATCATGTTCCTCAAAAATGTATTTTACACTAAAAATGAATATTTAAAAATAAATATAAATCCAAAATTGTAGCATTTGTTTCTCAAAAGTCGTTTCGTTATATCAAAGTATTTTCTTAGCCATTCAAAATTATTTTCGTTCATTTGATAATTATACAATTTGGTTTAATTAAAAAGATAATAATACTATTAAATTTTGGCAGTAATATTTAAAAAAATGACAAAACTTTTTAATTCTTTTGCTGTCACCATTTTTCCTCGACCACAACACATTTGAGGCGATTGGGGTGGGTTGTAAGGTGAATTGGATTTGTTCTTTTTTTCTCTTTTTGTTACGGGCATGTGTCAAACCTGCCACGTGTCAATAGAGGTGGTCCACACCACGCCACACGTCGATCAAGGTGATTGTACATGGGACAAGCTGATTGTACATGCCGAAGTGATTATATGAGGAACGAACTGAACACGTTTTAGCAAAGGAATCGGACTCATTCGCAAGTACACCGTGGATGCAAAGGCCCGCACTCCGCTTCTGCAATGCTGCAATGCCTCACCTGCCTCGCCTCGCCCATCAAAGATCTTTCCAAAAGTCAAATCCCTAACTGATGGGACGTGTGGCAGGACCCAAACGGTCAATTCAGCTGCCTTTGTCAAATACATTCAATATAGCCAACCTATAGACGGACAGATTGACACCTAGGATGGGACGAGCCATGAGGATTAACGAACTGGACTCATCCACAAGTACGCAGTGGATGCAAAGGCCCGCACTCTACTTCTACAACGCTGCAACGCCTGACCTGTCTCGCCTCGCCGTCAAAGATCTCTTGTATAAAGATCTTTCCAAAGTCAAATCTCTGACTGATGGGACGTGTGGCAGGTCCCCAAATGGTCAATTTAGCAGCCTGTGTCAGAAACGATCAATACCAGTCGACCTATGGAGGGACTGATTGATATCTAGGATGGGACGAGCCATGAGGATCTGGTAACATGTATCTTCTCATCTAGTGGCTCTCCTATTCTCATCCTTAGTATAAATGTCCTCTCCTTGTGCTAGAAGAAGGGGTCGAATCAAGATTTCCCCTACTACATTGCAAATTTGAGTATTATCTTCCATTACATCTTGGCACTTTATCAACCACTTCTTAATGAGTGTTCTATCGCCGGTAAACCTTTTCTGGTTGAACTATAAACTGACTTGACTGTCGGAGTGCTTGTTGCCACTCCTAACCCTTTCGGGAAAGGCCACAAGTGACTAACGGCATGCTACGTGTGCAGGGAAGAGCTGACTTGAAAACTTATTCTGTTGGCCACATGTCGGAGTTATTTTTCGAGGTCAACAGATTGACGCCGTCTGTGGGAAACTTACTTTAACCACGAGTCTTCCCACCAAAAAGTTGTTCGAATATCCGATTGATATTCTCCCTTGAAAAATGGATTGGTTCCTGAAAAAGGATCATCCATACGTTAAGCTTTGCTATACTTGCCACTTCGGATCATGAGTTCCAGCGACGAAGAGGCGAATGCAAAGAGAGCAAGAAATGTCTCTAAAGAAGAGGTTATCCGAACAAATGTTACGCAGCAACAACCTCACCACCGCTATCATAGATGTGGTAGAACTGTCGCGCGTTTAACTACCGAAGTGGCCCACATGGCTGCTAACATGAGGACCATTGCAGCTCAGAATGCAGCTATGTAAGAGCTCTTCATGCAAGTGCAAAATCAGGGTGGTTTTCAAGCCCCACAAAATCCCCAACAATCAGCCCATAGACGAACTGAGGTGGAATCTAGCAGGAAAACTCACATGAGTCCCCTGGGAGAAGTCCCTGTTGAAAGAGAAGTAGGAATTGACACCTCCAACTATACTGTCAATTCGGCTGACAATGTCCCGGCAGGAGAATATAATTTCCCTCCGGAGTATGAAGAGCAGCCCCAAAGGTCTGCCAGTTTTTTCGATCAAATTGGACGGGCAACTAGAAATAGGAACCAGTCCCCGTACCAAACAGCTCGTCAGCAGGGACGTGCACAAAGCCAAGAGGTTCAAGCTCCTCCACCTAGAAATAGGCGAGAGAGGCGAAATCTA